ATCATCTTCCCTAGAGCTCCTTACCAAGTTGTGTCAAGTGTAAGTGTGCAAGTGTGTGTGTGTGTGAACATGGCCTTGGCGTCTTTGTTTAAGCAATCGGCTACGCGGATTGCTGTGAGCCAAAGATTGCAGAATTTATGAAGTGTTCAAGCACAGTCCACAATGTAAGTCGAAGCTCCTTCGGGTCGGCCCTTTTGACCTTCTTGTGATTGCATGCAAATCGTGACATGAAGATGGGCCCAAAACGGGCAGGCATGAAAATCTCACACATCCATGCATGCTGGGAACATCGACCAGAGGAGCACGAGCACAGTTTAACAGGGCACAGCTCGTGCGACTCAGACCATCGTCGTATATACTCCCTACCCCACAACGGGTTTCCCTTCGGCAGCACAAGAAACACAGGGATTCCGGATGAGCGGGCAGCGGAAGCATACCCGAGTAATTTCTTGGCTTCCCATCCTTTTTCCTTTAGGTCGCCCCTCATTTCTTTCCAACCCCTGTTCTTGAAACCAGCTTCTCTTTTGTTAGCGGTGCCAGCAATCGGAACAGTGACAATACATACCGCAGGCGTAGGCGGGACCCTGATGTTCGAAATAGCAATCCCTTTTGCATTATCATCGAGACTGAGATTGATACTTCGAGCATGAGGGAATCGGATTATGCCTTCGCCTCCGATATGAATACATTTTACTGCTGCTCCGAATTGGTGAGCATCATCGATCGAAACACCCCCCTGACGAGACATGTCGAGGATGAAATCGTTGAAGGGGGTATGACCGGTTTCAAGATGTACCCCCCTGGTTGGACAGACAGAGGGGAGAGCAGGGAGAGCGGGAGCGGCAGACAGCATACCGGAGGAAATAAGAGTACCCTTACGAAAATGACCAATAGACATAAGGTTGCGGCCCCACACCTTAGCATCAGTGCAGGCCTTGGTCAGAATATCACCAGCCTCGAATTGAGAGGGACACGTCACGAACAGAAAATCCCCAGCGTGATAACGCTCGTTCAGCGCAGAGATATCGATACGCTGGGTACGAGACATGTGACGCATGTTCGGATTGTGACCAGTGATAATGACACGAATAGCGGCCTCATTGTCTTCCATGACCCGCAAGCGGAAACGGCGGCCCAACATATACTCCCACATAGACAGAGCAGGCAGGCCCAATTTATACACAGCGTGGTCAAGAGATACAATTTCGGCCTCGGGGGTAGACTTCGACACAGAAGTTTGCTTCTTGGACAAAGCATTAAGAGGCATAAAGCTACGCGGCCCAAGAAGACACATAAAGACACCAGAGGTGCTCTTGGAATCAGTACGGTCACCCGCAAGATCGGCATCGCAGTAGAGCACAAGCTCCAGCAGCTCGGGTGCATCACCAATCCACCCATACAAGTTGAGATCGAGGGTAGAGTTGATATAGCACACCAGTCGATGGAGTTTCTTATCACACAAGCCATCCCACTTGGTGATGAGACTGGCAAGTGCCTGCACAGGACGGATTAAATCGTACCGCCCCATGCGAGCACCATATAGAATTTTCATCAGAACGGCGGCTGCACAGTCGCCGAGAACGCCCTTACCAGGAGGCACAGGCGTGTCAGCGGGATGGCCCAATAAGCGGTTCACAGCAGGTCGATCCGGATTGGTATCGAATTCCGGTCGTGATTCATCGAGGAATGGCGTATCAGCCGACCGCAAGGTGGCCTTATACTTAGGGCCACAGAGTTCAACATAGCGAGAAACACATTGTTCCATGAACGATCGCATATCGTATTTGATCATGCGAATTTCTCGAGGACCAACAGAGCCCTGCGCGACACTGGTGTCGCGATCACCAAACGTCAGCTCGGGAAACGCCTTCTTGGGTTCCTCGAAGCGCGTCCAATAGGAGCGCGGATCAAAGGCACTAGGGACAACGTGGGAGAAGGTAACATGCTCGCATCCCAAGTAACGTTTGATGCTCGAGGGCGGCTCCAATTTAATCTTCGATGCCATGAGCTCCCACCCTTTTGCCAGATTGGCCTTTGGTCCACTGAGCTTAAAATCATCGACGTAGACCACGAGCATAAGATTGAGTTTGGGATGACGAAATACACTCTTCCAGTCGGGACACTGCTCGAACCCAACTGATCGAAGAGCCTTTTCACAATGCTGTTCCCAGAAACCACCGGCATCCGGATGCCCATAAAGGGCCAGCACCAGGCGTACGACCGGATCGTGATATTTGCCTTGCCATTCGGGCAACCAACGATCCTTGGGCAAGCGGACCCACGTGGCCGGGCCGCCAAGCTTAGCCTGAGTATAGGCAGATTCGCCATCGGCAACCTGTATTTCATGACCAGGAAGAAGGCCGAAGGCATCGGCGGCCTTTCCAGCTTCCATGGTCGCGGCGCAAGAGGTGATCTCGGAGAAAATAGCCCAATTATTGCCCTCGTCTTTGACATGACATCCTTCGAACACCACTCGACCCTTAAATTTGCGATTAGGGTCGGACTCCGGAAGCTCGGAATTCTTCTCAACGCATATATCGAAGATACGGCCAACGTGGGCCGTTTCCCCTTTCGCCATAGCCTCGTTAGACACATCGCGCCACTCACGCACGGATGCGTAATCCCAACATCCTTGGTTGATGAGCTTAATCCACTCCTTGTCAAGGGCGGCTTTCGCCTTGGGATTAGCGGCACGCTCTTTTCGGTCAACGGGCCGTGCAACACACGCACTGTAGAAGAAGACCGATGAATCGGGAGATTGGTGTGAATGAGGATCAGGGCGAACAGGCATTGCAGGTGCCGTATCAACAGCGTGGCCGTCATCGGATGGTTCAACCGGCGCAGAAACATCACATTCCACGTCTTCTGCGATGAAGTCGAGTTCAACCGCTGCCAAAACGGAAGTGTAAAACTGAACCACAGCAACGTCTTGTCCGGGCTCGACTATAATATCGTAGTCGGTAGGATTAAGGACGTCAACACCGGACTGAGTTGCCCCTTCATTGTATGTGTACATGGCCGGGCAAACATCGAGGCCACTGCCGCGGAGCGGCTGAAGACGGGCGGACATACCACCCGGGGGCTCAAACTCAAGATCCGTAACGACACAGGCGCGAGATTTGGCAGGTACGACAGTACGGCCCTTTGCACGCAATGCGTGTCCATAATAGCCATTCGCAGTCTGCACGCGGCGCCCTGTGTCATCGGCGTTCGGCATACGGGTTCGAACTTTAATCTGCGTTTTGGCGGAAGAACCGATAACGAAGACCGTCTTTCCCGTCCATCGACACGGCAGAGACCGAGTGTCGGATGATCTCCATGAGTCCTGCAATGTGAACTCGGTACCGTCAGTCATGGCCATAGTCATCCTGACATCGGTCAATGTTGCAGGATCAACGGGACAATCTTTGACGGAGGTAGGGTTGAAGCGCGCTCGGCGTTCGATCACATGAAATCGGGTGATCGTGCCAGCTGTGACATCGTGATACCAGTAATCCTTGTCATGCCGTTCGGCACCCGACTCATATTCAGAATCGTAAGCGATGTCGACAGGAGCAGCATCGCGAGAATCCTCTCGGGACATGGCATGAGACTCAGCTTCTCGGCGCTCAGCCTCTACATATCCCTCCCGTTCGGCGCGGTTCATACTGCGCCAGGATTCTGAATCGATAGAGTTCGGTTTTCGAGACCCTTTATATGCCCGCTCGGAACGCGGCACACTCTGACGATAAGGCAAACCCCCCTCGCCTTCCAGGATCTCCGACCCGTGGTAAGGAGGTAACTTCTTCTTGGGTGGGGCATAGCCCTCATCATAAAATTCGACATTGCCGGTCCAGAGCTGCATGAGTCTTGTTTTGCCGAAGGCATACCCGGTCTCATAGATCGTAACCGGGCTTTTGTCCTTGTATTGAACATGTGATATACGCACCGTGCTCAGCTTCCATGGATCAGGCGACTCCCCAACGGAACCGGGAGTCTTACTGGGATTCACCATCGCTTTCCTTGGAACAATGACGTGATACGTCCATTTATGCACAGATGGGTCATACTCCCAGTAGTCAACACCTCCTCCATGAGAGGACTGTGCTCGTAACTCAGCCTCGCGAGCTTGGCGAATATCATCATCGGTCATTCGCGTTGACTCATCAAGGGCGAAGATTTCATCGATATCTTCGAGATCGAGCATGTCGGAGGCGTCAAGACGCTCACTTGGCTTAGGCACATTAGAATGCATCGCGGGATCGTTGATGCACACTGATCGTGTCTGTTTATCGTATACAGCCAGCATCGGAAATGTCCATCGCTCCTTGGGTGAGCAGTATAGCTTCTTGACCTGATGGACGCTCGCACGCAGTGCGTCGCGCTTGAAATCTTCAAGGTCGGCGACTATATAGTCACCATCCCACCTGCCCCCATTCTCGAAGTGGTAACCCAGAAACACACCGGGTTTGCTCGTGGGAGAGAATTTGCTGGGGCGCTGGTAGGACGATAGGCGTTGATCCATGTCTGGTCCTTGGAGGGAGCCAGGTCGATCGTCGTCCCCATCGTCGATCCACTCGAGATAACCATCATCATCGAATCCAACTTCGACTTCGACCAATCCATCATCTCCAGGCGCAGGTACGGCATATTCCTCACCATCGCCGAGTACGACTTCATCTTTCTGACTACGTCGGGTTTGTTTTCGTGCCGGCGTGGGATAGAAGTCTACAAGACATCCGAATGGGAGAACCTGACCGTCAAATTCGGCACCATTAAATCGTAGCGAATACGCACTTTGTCCTTCGCGTAACTCGATGTTGCGAGCATGACAAAAGTGCTTGCACGCATAAGGCCAGAATTTGGCGCTCAGTCCCGCTTGTCGAAGCGCCACTCGTGCGCCATGAAGGACAAGCTTCACCTTGCTCTCGGCAATGGCATTAGTGCGAGGCATGCCAGGAGTGGAATGTTTTACAGAGATGCCGACTCTTTTGCAGGTCGATATGAACTCACGGGCTTTATCACAGTAGATTTCCCGGAGACGGTGCATACCTTCTCTCCACATCCATGGAGAACGAGTTCACATCTTGAAGGTCGCCGAAAACCTGCTGGAACGCTCGAAGCGTGTCGGCATTCGTCCTCCCCTTGACGGGAACACTCTCTAACCACTCGGTCGCTAGATCATAGAAGACAACTGCATCTGTTTCCCCATTATTCCCACGATTGCCAAGCCAGTGCAACACCATAGTATCGATGGTGACGTGCTCGCCAAATTTCTCAAACCCTTTATCGCGTGGTGAGTCTTGGCGAAACGATTTAACGTTTTCCATCTTTGCACGTTGGCATGCATCGCAGTAGGGATTCTTAGGTAGATGGGTCATAAGGTGACGGATGGACTTAGCCTCCTCCCTCAGATCGCGCGCTCTCGGTTCATCGGGCGGCGACTGATGCTTAGGCTTGCTAGGCACCTTCTTGATATCGTCAGGTGCACTTTTCTGGGCACTCTTAGCACCAGGCATATCAAGATCGAGCTCACCAATGTCGTCTAGCTCGCCCACAGGTTCTTCACCCGCAGCCACGATTTTCTCGTGAATAATGATCGGTGCTGGGAGTGCCGGATACACACGAGGGAGATCAGGTCGACCCGCGACTACCTCGGTTTCGCTCGGAGCGAGGTAGGGGATGTTATTGATAACATCAATCTTGAGTTGTCTCCCTTTGGGATCAAAGAATATCGGATCACAAAAGGGTTCCCAGATAAATCGGTAACCAAGCTCCTTGCATCGTTTCCCTAGGGAAAGAAGACTTGGTGTGCTCTCCAGCACATAAGCTTCAATCAGCTCATCGAGGCCGTCAATGCGCATATGGGCAACACCTTTGGTGTTAGTTTTCCCATTGGCGGTCCTAAGGCTGATCTTAGCATTCTGAACTATCAGGTCCCTTTCTTCGCGGGACAGATCACCGAGACCAATAAGGTCTATACCGCAACCGGAGTCGAGCATTAGTCTCCGGACCCTCTTAATAGACTTGACAGCAGCAGCAAAGACCTCGCAAGCGCTCCGCTGAGAAAGCGTGAGCTCAAGAACACAAGCATCATTACCTAGCGTTTTGGCATCAACGTCATCGAGCAAAACCTGCTCTCTCCAAAGCACAGCCTTCATGTGCGCCCTTCGCCTCTCGCGAGCACTATTCAGACTACGGATATCTTCCGGCCACGAATAGTTCAAATTCCTCTCGCGATTGACGGGACCGAAGTTTGGCTCCGGGAAAGAAGACTCTATCACGCGGGTCTCAGTATTCCCAAACGACACTGTCTTCCGCTTGACTGACGGACATGCCATATCGAATGATGCAACGCAAGCGAAGGCGAAGTCTCCATAGGAGGATGCTGTCATTGCCTGAGGGTTGCGGCACGCCCCTCTCAAAAATCCGAGGGCGTGGGCGCCGGGCTGTCAACCCGCCTTGACGCGCGGGCTCAGCAGGCGCAGGAGCGGCAGCAGGGGTGCTCTCAGCTGGGGCACCCGGCTTCACATGCTTATAAGGACACTTGTCTCCTCTCGAGCAAGTGCCTCGTGCAAAGTAGAAGCAAATACCAGACTCCTTTGAAATCGGTGATTGTGATCGAGGCGGGAAACCCTTCGGCGAGGAGCTTCTTCCCTTCAGGTTATGGGAGAACTTGCATCCGCTTCCTCGCGTGCATCTGCCTTTCTTGAAATCGTAGCAGATTTCCCGTCCTCGCGGGGATCGCGACATTGGGCGAGTCGGTGCGGGAGCTGCTCGTCCCGGACTGCGGGAATATCGTCTTGGCGATCCGCGTCGCGGGGAGGATCGTCTGGGTGACGAGCGCCTCGGCGAGCTCCTTCGGTACGGACTCCCCCTTCTGGAGTCACGACGCCCAGGCGATCTTGACCCCCTTTGACCTCGGGATGAAGATCTGCGCGGGCTGCCGTGCGCAGGTGCAGCGTATCGTCTCTGCGCAGAAGTAGACCTCGTAGCGGTGTACATCTTCTCCTGATTGCGTCGTCGGCGCCAAGTTGTAATCGCATTGACGCAGACGGTTCGCAAGTATGCGTAGTTCCGTACGGATACGTCCCTGTCCCATAGCTGCATGTCGAGCTCGAGACAGCGGAACTCACGCACCTGCTCATAAAAGAGAGCGCAGAGAACAGGATCCTCGGAGCGATCGACTGAGATACCAGCGAGAACATGATCCCACCGATTGGAGAAGGCTTCTAACCTTTCCTGCTCGGATCCATGAGTAAACCGATCAATCGTGGTCTTCATCAGGTCAACGAGCTTGAAAGTCGAATCGCCGGTGACATGTGGTCGAAGGAAATCATATAATAGCCACAAGATCTGCCTACTTCCGAGTCGCCGGTTTATCGTATGCATGCGCTCGGTCTCGGTCTGGATCTTATTCTTCAGTGCAATGGATCGGACGCACTCACGGAACGCAGAGTTGCATTCGTTTTCAAGCATTCCGTACTTGCACTCATCGAGGAGATCCTCATACCGTGTACCATCGGGAATCTCAACCCATGATAGTGCGTATCCGGGATCGTAGGCGAATGCATTCGCGACTCGCTCTTTCATATCGACGATCCAGCGTCGCAACTGAGCAGGCTCCGGCTCAGGATCGAGACGAAAGGACTTGCACTTCGCCTTCTTGGCCTCGCTCAGTGATCCATCGCCCTTGGGTCCACCGAATCCCGAATCGTTGGGACCAGGTGGATTCC